ATGTTCTACAACTCCAGGTGTGTTGTTTTCAGTTAACCGCACAATAATACAATAACTTCTGCTTCCTACTCAAAGATCAGCAAAATTGAAAAATTTGAAACTCTTATCAATACCCCAAACCAAACCTGAGAGCTAGAATCTATAAGAATGTCTTCTTCATTGCAAAATTTATTAGAGTAAAACTCAGAAACATCATTGGACACCAAAGCATACATTTGTTTTCTGAAGGGGAAAAACCAAGAATGGATTTTTCTAAAGGAAAGAAGGCGTACCTTTGCTTCTCTCTCCTACACTCTCCTCCTTACTAAGAGAGGTAAACAAGTCATTCTTTCTTCATTCCCTGGCGGCTGTAAAGAACAGAACACCAAGAACTGCTTTTTATTGTCTGAGATCTGTTCTCTATCCATTATTCTCATCAGTGTCACCCTCCCTTTACTCGTTTCAAAACTTCAGGTCACAAAGGATAACGGTCTTGGTGAGGCAGGGAGAGGGAGAGTGGGGGTGTGCAGCCACTGACAAAAGCCATTGCATCTTGGGAGATAAACATCCCAAAGGCAACAGTGTTACAGAGCCCTAAAGGACGCTTAGGGCTCATGAGATAAATTTTCAGAATAAAGTTGTGAATTAGTTTTACACGCTGCTACTCTCTCTAAACAGTGCAGTGAAGCAATGTGCCCCGGGGCTCATTGGCAGTGAAGATAAAGAAAGGTTGAAAATAAAAGAAAGGCAAATATTCATCAAACAAATACAATCAGAGGGAAAGCAGAGATGGACATTTTCATTCCAGACACAGTAGAATTCAAAGCCAAAAGCATTTAAGGAGGCAAAAGGTTTGGCAAGAAGTAGGATCCTAATAAAGACCAACCGTCGCAAAAAGTTTTACACCTAACTGTGTTACATCAAATTAGAAAAAACAAAAGCTGTTTGAAATGTGAGGAAAATTTAAAAGAAGCATGATGTTTGCACTTAGAGAAATCTGGGTAAACAGAAGGGAAAGTGTAAATGTTGTAAGGAGAAGAGTAATCACAGACACTTCAGCCACTGTCGTCAGCCAGGACTTGGAAAGGGCTTTACCTCCAGCAACCCAGCATTGGGGACCCTGTGAACATGCCATAAGACAGGTCAGAGGAGTAACCATCAGTTTTTTCCAAAGTATTTATGTGACTGGAAGAACAAAATCCCATTGTAGGAGATGCCTCATATCCACCAGCAATTTCCTATTGGTCAGTTCTTCTAGATTTGACCTTGTAAATTTCTAAAGTAGAAAATGAAGAGTCCTGATTATCTGCAAACCAATCCACTCCTGTAAGTAAATTAACACACAAATGGCCTGGATTCTTTATCAGAAGCGCTCCAAATCCCAATACATTAACAAAAAAGATGGTTTCCACTTCTCAAAGAACTCATCCGAGATATTTAAAAGTCTGTCTGGTGCTAACACTATGCAGATTGTGCAGGATCTTTCCGCAAAGTGGGTACAGCTGGAAATGGTAGGTGAATAAGAATGTTCTTCTTGAGCATAGGAGCCAAAATCAGAAACACCAAGTTTGATTTTCGAAATTCTTGGGATTCATGGTCAGTGGAGTAGACCATAAACTGGACAACTATCCCAACAAAGTGGGTAACAAGACCAAGACACATCAGAGCCAAAGGGGTTCTCCCTTCCTTCCCTCCTTCCCTCCTTCCCTTTCTCCTTTCGTCCTTTCCCCTTCATTCCTTCCAAATCTCCACATAATCTAATCTACTTCTATGGCCTTAATTCTTAATCGTATCCATCCCAGATTCTGTCTCACCCAAGATCACAGAGAGCAGTTGTTGGTGGATTTTCTGACATGGATGCCTGGTAGAGATGACAGATTCAAAATGATCCAACCCTAATGTCTTGGTCTGCTTCTCCTTGGACTTGGCTGCAACTCAGACTGCCCATCTAAATAAATGATCCCACTGTTCACCTAAAAATCAAAACAGCCAAAGGGGCAAGGAAATGAAGAAGGAATGACTTATTTCCCTCTCTTCTTTCCGTATCTCTCTATTCCTTACTTGACTTTTCTTTTTTTCAGAACACAATTATATGCTTTGGTTCCAACAGTGTTTCTTAATTTAATACATTTTTGCAATCAGGAGGAAACCCTCACAGATATTCTCATGGCCAGGTTGGATTTTGGTTTAGCTAAGAATTTTTCTGCATTGTTAGTATCTAAATGGGAAGGGAGAAATTACTTTGTCCAAGGCAAAGATATGACTGTCACTGAAGAGCCAGACCTATGTTTATTGGCATGCCATTGAGATTCTGTGGGTCAGTCAGGTTGGTTAAAGATACAATGTTAAAGGAGAGACAGAGCAACAGTCACTAATAATTAAATACAAAGTAAACAACACATCTTCTATACCCAGGTATCTTCCCTACCCATGGAATTACTAATGAAATTCAGGTCAGGGGGTAAAAAAGAGGTAGCCGTGTGCAAATTTTGAGAGTTTCATATTATGGCATACCTACATTTAAAACTAATTGATACAAGGCTACAAAAAGACTTCTGTTTTTCAAAAGTACATAAGGAGTCAAACTTTAAATGACAAAATATATGAGATTTATTAGGTTTCTTGTGTATAAAAATTCACTATACTGCACTCATCTGCTGGCTGAGAGGGAAAAGCCAATTTGCATGGCTCCTGTCTGTCATATGTGGTTTGGAAATACTTACGCATTCCAGATACTCTCAGTGTAAACTGGAGAATCATATTCTATTTCCACTGGTTTGCATGCATGCATATAAAACTTATTTTCCCACAGTGCCACATGAAAATAAGTGAAGAACTAACAGCAATGATCACAATTAATCAATGTCTTTGTTGACATTTCACAGCTGTGATGCTGAGGGGGATTCTTGTCCTTCATGTCTACAGCTGTGTCTTCTACTTTGCTTGCTCCATTCTGTTCCACAGAGCATTTAAAATCAGCAACTATCATGGAACACACAGTTTCTGGTACCTACTATGTGCCAGGCCCTCTTCTAATCACTGAGAGATACTAAACAGAACTCCCACTATAGGGAGCTCATAGGCTAACGGGAAAGAAAAAGAAGTAAATAATAGCGACCACCCAATGTGACAGCCGCTTTTGTAGAGTTGGGGTTATATATTATGTCCTATGGAAACAGGGAGTTGCCAAAACTTCCCAGAAGGTGAACCTGAGGAGCTGCAGTGAAGGAGGACTGGAAGGCATTCCAGAAAGTGGGAACATTGTGTGCGAAGCTCATCAAGAACACATACTTCAGGGACCCGAAAGACATTCTGCATGGCTCAAGGCCAGAGGTAAAGCCAGTAGAGAAAATAATTTGAAATCACATGAGAAAGAAGCAATAACTCTAATAAGCAATGCTATTTTAATAGTCGACATTTTTGTGTGAATGTTTAAAGGTGTTTTCTCACTAAGAAAACTTACAAGTTGCAGATGAACCAGATGATGTTACAATGCCCAGTATCCAGGCTCTGTCCCGTACTGTTTCTCTCCCAGTACTTAGAACAATACTTGGCACATAGTAAGTGTTCAACTAACACAAACTACTAATACTGCACATGATAGATAGCCTCTAAGGTGGTCCTCAGTGATTTGTGCATTGTGAAAACCCTTTCCGTTGAGTATGGGATAGACTCATTGACTCATTTGTAATGAATAGAATATGCCAGAAGTAATGAGCTGTCAATTCCATCTTATGTTATAAAAAGACTGTGGCTTCCCTTCTGGGAAGTCTATCATGCATTCACCCTCTGGGGCTTACTTTTTCTCTTGGATCATTTGCTTTCAAGTCTCAGACACTGGACAGCTTATGGAGAGGCCCACATGACAAGGGACTGAGCCACAGCTGAGTGATAATGCCAACTGCCAACACCTATGTGAGGGACCATGGGTGGGGATCTTCTGAGGCCTACCAAGAGCTCCACACGAGAGCTTGGAGGGAATTCTCCAGTGCCCCTCCAGGTAGCAGCAAGACTTGGCCAACAGCTTGACTGCAGCATCATCAGAGACCCCAAGTGAGGGGCACCCAGCTGAGCTGCATCTAGATTCCTCACCCCCAGAAACTGTGAGATAACATGTGTATGTTAGACCACTAAATTTTGATATAACTTGCCTCGGAACAATATATAACCAAGATACTCTTGTGCTGCCTATTCCCCATTCTTCTCACAACCGGGTTCCTGGTGTTCCTCAAAGGGCACAGTGGAACTCGACTCAGTCATGGAGTACCACCTGAAACACCAGCATCTGTGATTAGGATCCCCATCACCTAGTGGAAAGTAGGCGATCTCACCTCCTTCTGAGGGGATGAACCCTGCTACCTTCAGTTCCCTTCCGATCACTGATGAGATGAGTCAACCCCAATCGCAGTGTAGACTGTTATATGTATTCTCCCTACCCCTGATCTTGGGCAGGCCAGTGCTGTGAAGTAGTCTCCTACAAGCTACTACTAGAATTCAGTGACCCTTGTATGTATAGAGGGTGACGATCACAGATGTCCACAGACAGACACATGAATATATTATTTTCCCCCCATAGGTAACACTAAATAATTGTGTGACATGTTTTAGCTAGTAGTTGTTAAACTTGCTGTCTACACTGTCCAGGTGGGAGCAGGTGGAACAATATACATTGCTTAGGGAACACTGAGTTTTTGGCAAAGAATTTTTGGCAGTTTATAGCAATGTTGATTTGAAGTTAGTGGTTTTATATGTAAAAAAAGATGTTAAGACCTTGTAAAGATGTTAAATATTTACACAAAAATTAAGCTCAGCTAAGAAAAGAACAGAAAAATTTAAAACCCATATGTACCTTCTACAAATTATTCTTTGCTAGTTCCTGGGGACTTTGTAGTAGTTTCTAAATCCATTTTAGGATATTAATATCAAGCAGCCACTGTGTACACAACACTGTGCACCTAAATGGTAACAGTACTTCATAGCCACAGGAAAAAGGGGACAAAGGAAGAAAGGGGACTTGGTACCTCTGTCCCTGATTCTGCCCCTCATGCTCTGCCATGCAGTTATCAGGAACTGAAGGACTGATGTGGGAGGATGTCCTTAGAGCCACTGCGGAGATGCCCACCAGTGGGGATGAGAAGTTCAGCAGCATGGACGTGGTATGGTGGGAGAGGACATTTGTGTGATGGCTCACATTGACAACCAGTGGGTTATGCTGGCACGACAGTTCATAGGTTCCTGAAGAGAAATAAGGAGATGAGAAACAATCCCTCCAGCCATTCAGCCAGCACCATCTTTCCACACCTATGTCCATTCCATCCTCTCCATAGCTGTGTGAGGCAGGCGCGCTCCTGAACAACCTTGGAGATAGACATCAAGCCAACTCCTGGGTCAATGGATCATTCTCTAGTGGCTCTAAATGGACTATTCTCAGACTCACCAAGAAAGTGGTTGCTTCCACTGACATCAGTCAGGTAGAGGGTCACTGTTGGCCGCTGATGCTCCCCAGGGGCCAGGCCATCAGACGTCAAGAAAATGAAAATTGCCACGGCAACTCCTGGTCTATTGAAACAGACCTGGGCATAAGCACATATATGGACGAGTCATTATTTCTGTGGCAATCAAGGCATGTGCTGTGTCATCACTTTTCTTCTCAGATGGTTCACCATTTATAAAGTAAGAGATTTCTTCTCCTTTACAAATGGGAAAAATATGGAGTAGGCACAGAAGAGCATCCAAGGTCACACCCAAAGTCAAGATGAGATGGAAAGAAGATAATTTTCAGCTTCTAAGCATCCTATTTACCTTTTTCTGGAACTACATTTTACCATAACTGTTTCTTTTTTACTTAGACCCATCATTCTTTAAAATTTCCCAAAAAGATCACTCAAAGACAAGCTTGCTGGAGATAATAAACTCCACAGAGCCCTAAATGTCTCCTTTTCAGGAAAGTGAGAGAAGTGGACCAGGAGATCACTGAGCCAATATCCAAGTTAGCAAGCCAGCTGGCTCTGAACTACCATGTGTGCTGCACGGCCACACCTTGCTATCTTTCCCCATCTCCCTCTCTATCTGTCCCTCCCACCACCAATGTTTCTCAGAACCTGTAAGTCACCATGTGAACTATGACACGGAAGGAGGCTTCTGCAGGCGATTGGTTCTGAGATTAAAGCCTGAAAAACTCCTTATTTTTATGCAATTGTCCTGGTGTCCCATGCTCATCCACCCTGTCCTTGCCTGGAAAATAAACCCACGCTGAGACATAGAACTACTTTGTTATAATTTATAAGGACTATTCCTAGATGGTTAGGTCGATTAATACTATAACAGACTTTCAAAGTAAACTATGAAAATTTTGTCTCTGAGAATCTTTTAATAGAAAGGTAAACATCTTAGAGGTTCGAGGATGGAATAGAGCCTCTCCACAAGCCACTCCTAGGAGTTCAGTGCTTATTTTCCCCAATAGACTTTCTTGATGCAACAATTCTACTTTTGTTTTCTATACCTGCGTGTTTCCCCTGATTTCTGTAGAGAATAGTGCCATTTTTCCCTGGTGTCACATGTATGTTATATTAATAGAATAAGGATTTTAATGAAATTCTGTATGCATCTCTTTGGCTTTTTATCAGGTACTCAGGAAATTTGTTTTCAGTGTGAAAACAGGACACTGCTTCTAATGGCAGGGACCTCCTCTAAAGTAGGGAGCAGAAGAGTAAACACATTTTCCACTTTAATGAGAATTCCCTCTCGTCCACAGACTGGTGTCCCCTGAATCTTGGCAATGTGTTTTTAGTGTCCATTTGCACTGATGGCTTAATCAGAGTGGTTTTATGATTTGCAGTGGTCAAGACAGCACAGTTCTCCCTTCTTCCTCTCCTCCTCGAGGGAAAGACCAGCCACACACTCTTTTTATACTCTTTTTATTTTCCCTCTTTGAAGTAATAAATATTCCTTCATAACTTCAGAAGCATCCAGACCCATAGGTTATAGGGTCCAATAGGAAGTCCTCTGTCCCTGTCTGAGTGAGGGCTAGACATGAAAGCACCCCAAGGAAACCAGGAGCCCAGGGCAATGCTCTCCACTCCAATAGCAAATGACATCAAAGCCTCCTGGGAACTCCCATAACCTCTTCCTTCTCATATACCACAAAAGAGACCTGAGCACTAGAAGAAAGTTCTGGGTCATTTCCTGAGCCAGGAACAGACTGAATCCAAACAAGCACCTGGTGGGTCTCCCTCAATAGGCCTCAGACCTAAAGAGGGGGCGGCCTCAACAGGAACAGGAGAGCTCAGTCTTCCCAGCCTCTGTTGGGCCCCAAGTAAATGCCACCCACTGAAACTAGTTAGCAGAGGCAGGTCTCATGTTGTGAGCATTTCTGTTCTGAGAGCCTGTGCCCAAAGCTTCCAACCCCTGTTGYATCTCCTAGCAATGCCCCCTGTGTTCTAAGGCTTTTTGAATACCACACCCTTGAAACTCAGAGGCTGCTCCTGATGGCAATGTCTCTGTACCATGGATTGTGGGAAGAGGCTTAAGTAGGAAAACCACAGGTGGGACTTCCAAAGCACATGCAAGCCAAGGCAAGTCAGGCTACACAAAGTGGAAGGACAAGAGTTTGATCAAGTTATGGGATGCTGAGTCTTGGATATTTCCTCCCTCAGTGACATAGGAAAGAAAACTGCAGTTCATTCTTACCCCAAATATGCCCTGCAGCAGCAATTAGAAGCACAAGAAACTGTAAATTCTTTCACACAACAATTGGCATCTCCAAGCATAGATTAGCCTGAATCTGCACATACGTGCATCACCAGTCCAAGCAGAGGAAAGAGGAATGAAGCAAAGCTACAGACCAGAGGGAGCTGGCCAGGCAGAAGACCTGCATGTGGCTCTTGGATTAATCTCTACCACCTGGATAAATCTGAGTGATCCACCTCTCCTGTATGAGCCTGAGGTTCCTTTGTTCCCCATAATTGAGAAAGAGACTACCTATTTGACACGGTTACTATGAAGACTAGATGAAACTGTGAGAGCAAGGGAGGCACGCCTATAGCATAGTAAGGTCTAGTGTTAGATGATTTTTATACAATGTTTTTCACCTAGTTTGCTTTGTAAAAAGAAAAGGTGAAAGGACAATATTTTAAAATTAAACATTTTCAKGTTTTGAAATATAGAGAATTATACTTTTCTGAATGTATAAGTTAAAAAGTTTTATTTCTGCTTTGTTCAGTTACCACTTGTGGAAATGTGGACTGTGGAAATGTGAAATGTGAACTTCAGTTCTGGTTTCATAGAAACTGTCAATATTTGAAGTTCTTAGTATATTATGTATCTCTATTTTATAAATGGAATATATAAAATACATTTTATATATGATTCTGTTAATTAGAGAAATTTAGAAAATTTCTAGTTTGCTGTGCTTAGAGACATAGAAACTTCCAGAATTGACAGTGGAATTAGAAAATTAGAAGTATATTCTTTATTTAAAGATATTTAAAGAGTCAAGTCACAACTATTTGAATATGTTAGTAGCCTGGAGTATTTTCACTTTATGTGAAATAGTGAATTTTACATTCTTAGACATGAAAGACAAGTAGTAGCAGGAGTAGAACAATTGGCAACAGGAAGCACTACTATTCTACCTCCATATCACCTCTGCCACTGCAAGGGTGACATCCTCTGATCACATTCAATGTGTGATTCTGCATAGCTATCCCCTCCAGGACCAAGTTCACATGAAGTACAACAGGGACTGTTCAGACCAGGTATGTGAAAGATTCAGAATGCTAGAAAGTCAAAAGCATTGCTAGTTTTATCTTTCACCTTTCAATATTTGTTCTAACAAGGGGACTACACCATAGGTTACATCGGCAATATAAAATTGATTTGATCATGTCTCTTACAAGAAAGAAAATGCATAAATACATATCAGGAAGGAGATAAGGTCTCTCAGAAAAGCAAACAGTTCTAAAGTATAAGAAATTGTTCCAAGATAGAGAGATTGACAGTGAAATCAACTCAGTAAACCTATCACAATGTATTTTGAAACAAAGAGAAAACACAGAGCAGAAAGATGACAGTGATGGATGACAGATATAGATAGGTAGATATAGATGATATATATATAGGAAAAGATAGAGTTTCTAAGGAGATAGAGAAGTAGACTAGATAAAGAGAAAATTAGGTAGATCTAGATAGTTTATGTAGAAATAGAGATAAATTATAGAAATATAAGAGATGGCTGGATGGATAGATATATATTATAGAGAAAGAAAAAGATATTAGATATGATGAAGTTGGTGGTGGACAGATAGATCTACCACAGAGAGACAGAAAGACACTGATAGTGGGGAAAGCCCAGCCCCACACACTAAGTTGCTTTTTCATTCAAAGACTGCACATTAACCACTCCATCTGACCGCTGGCCACTGGAGAAGGGTAAGGTTGAAAGAGTATCTCTCTAATGCTGAACGGTTTGGGCTTAAGAAATCCTTCTCCCGGCTGCCTGCTGGGCACGATACACTTGATATGCTCCCAAGTTAAGCATGTCAACTTCCAGGTCACCCTTTGTGGTGGTCACTGGATAGCAGACCCTAAAAGCATACCACAAACTTGAAAAGAATCTTCACTGAGGTTTTAAAATGCTTTTGGTTAGTGACTGGGTTGCTGTTTTCCTGTGCTTTTTCCATTTTTACTCTTCTATGGCACTTCCTGATTCCAGAGGGAAAGCAAGGCCCTGGGCCAGGAGAGAACAGGCGGCCTGACTTCCCTTTGCAGACCGTGCTTTGCCGGAGCCCCCACCGGCTCCTGGGGCTCATGAGGGTTTATTCTGAGTTGAGCGTTTTTATCCTCAGGATAAAAAGGTTGTATTATAGAAGTGGAAACAAAGATTCTCAAAAAGAAGTGTTTTTGTTTGTTTGTTTGTTTGTTTGTTTTGCCAGGGCAAATGCTAGAGGGGAAGGAAGAAACTTGGTTTTCCCATTTTAAGGTTTGCATTCTTCTGACTGCACCACTGTTCTTAATTTGAGGTGAGCAGGACAGCATAGATTCCTTAGAAAATGTATTGACCTTTGAGACCTCTCTCTTTCCCCCAAAATGAACTCATGTAGACACTTAACTAACAGCTTTATACAGTTTTAGGGAGCTGAGAGATAACTTTAAAAGCCATTTGTGGTTCAATTAGGGTCTCCAGAAATCAGATTAAGAATACCTGTACTATTGGTTAAAACATTAAATGCTTTTTAGATAGGTGGAAGGATATAAAATATTGCCAAATTCATGTCTCAATCTAATAATATATATTTGGGGGGTACTGGGAATTGAACTCAGGGGGCACTCAACCACTGAGCCACATCCCCAACCCTATTTTGTATTTTATTTAGAGACAGGGTCTCACTGAGTTGCTTAGCACCTTTCTATTGCTGAGGCTGGGCTTTGAACTCATGATTCTCCTGTCTCAGCCTCTTGAGCCACTGGAATTACTGTGCCCAGCATGACCTAATAATATTGTCAACTGTGTGGAATTCAGAAATTTTGACAAGGTGAAGACTGACTCCCAGAGTTTTAGGCTCTCCCCTAAAGT